TGGACTTCCGGCCCCTACTCCCGCAGCGAGCGCAGCTGCAAAGACTAGTCCTTGTGAATGATTGGTGGAGTTACTCCCCAAACAACAAGCGTTGTGAACATCGGCGACGGAAAGACAGGTCCCGTGGTCTCCACATCGAGCGAGGAAGACCCGGCGATTCTCCCGGGCCAGCGGTTCCCACTTCTTCAAGTAAATGTCACCTTCGTTGACGCTGTTGACGCTGTTTCAACGTTGAACTGGTTGTGGGAACTGACCCAGCTTATCGACCTCCGCCGTCAACGAACCCCTGAGTTTCGCCGAAGACTCGGGCAGGGTCTTGCACCAGCAAGGCGGGTTAGCATCTTCCGCCATGACGCCGTCAAAAAGATTGCTGACTCCTCCACCAGCAGCACGGCGAGGGCCAGAAGTGTTTGAGCTGAGGCCGTGGGAAGGCAGATCAGCATCTCCGACGAGAAGGCTAAAATCTCAGAAAATGCGGCCCGTAACCCTCAGACTTGAGGAGCGGGGTGTGTGATGGTGTGTGTGCAGGTGCAGCGCTCAGGCGTGGCCGGTCGCCAAAGTGGGGACGAGCAGTTTAGGCCCCCAAAGCCTGCCCGGTCCACGCCCTAGAACCAGACCGCTGCAAAGTTCGCTTGAGGAGAGGTGCTTCAACATGCGCCAAGTCCACAGACTTGCGAAGTTTTGTAGATTCCACGGATTTCCCGAGAAAAAATACAATGAAATCTCACAGCTGGTAGCAGTTTTCAGCAGCGTGCGGGCTGCTGAGTGAAGCAGTGTCGCGAAGCAAAGTGTTTTGACCCGAACTGGAACCTGCCAAACCGAGTCAGCCAAGAGTCGAACACTCGCAAAGCGAGGAGAAGTTTCACTCCCACAGACCGCCTCTTGCTGCGTGAGCACGAGATGTTGTTGTGGTTGTTGTTGCGGTTGTTGTCCTTGTTGTTGTTGGCGATTGTATTGTTGTTGTAGCCGCTATGGATCACAGCAGGCTGTGTAGCTTTGCTAACAAGGTTCTGGGTACCAACGCTAGAGGCTCGCAACGTGCCCCTTCTGCGAAGCTTAAGGGACCGTCCTCTTACTGAGCCATAGCTGTTCCCGGAGCCGCGTGTCGCTGTGATCTACCGGGTCCCAATTCCCGGGCCTCTGTCTGCAGTTATACAACCTTGGCATGAGGTAAGCGGTAGTGGTTTTCACCTTTTCCGCAGGGTGAAAGGAGTCGGTTCGAGTTCTCTCTTTCCGGCGAAACTAGCGGACGGCGCAATCGCCAATGCACCAGCATTCATTTGAGAGCATTCGCAAGAAGGCCTTTCGCAAGGCTTGCAATAAGGTTCATAGAACACAAGAAAGCATCCCGTACCGGAATGGTACGTTGACGCCTGAACATCTGCGTCGCAGTGGACTCACCCCCCCCTCCCCTCCCCCCCTCCCAGTGCAGCCTAGCTCCACGATTTCTCCTTCAGGTCCCTCAGGTTTCTCCGCCAGTTTCCGCTCGCGCCCGAGAGGCGGTCGTGCCAGCAAGTCTCTTCGTGTTCTTTCCTGGAATGCAGGGCACCTTGGCATGCAACAATGGGCAGAAGTGAAGACATGGCTTCGCACGGAGGCCAAGTCAGTCTGTGACATTCTTGTCCTTCAGGAAACCCACTGGAGTGAGACAGCAGAATTTGATGTCGAAGGCTGGCACTGCGTAAGCTCCGCCACAAAAGGGGCTGCTCGAGCACCTAAAGGTAAAGCCACTTCAGGGCAACGCCCCAAGCAAGGCGCTGCCACGCAGCCGGCTGTTCACGACACAAGCCGAGCGGACGGCGTCATGGTTCTTCTCTCTCCGCAGATAGACAAGAAGAAGATAAGATGGCGCGAGCAACGCCGGGGAAGGCTCATTCAGGTCATCTTCCCGTGGCTTGGGGCTCGTGTGCATGTACTAGCGGTTTACCAACATGCCTGGTCTTCTAAGAAGACTCCACAGCAGAACAAGGATGACCGCTCACACCTGCTCCGCGATCTGTCGGCTGCGATACGGGCCATTCCAGCGCGAGATACTTTTCTCTTGGCAGGAGACTTTAATGCTCGACTGACCCCGCAGGAGGGTCTGGTAGGTCAGTGTAGCACCAAGCCAGAGCAAACTCAGATGCAGGATGAATCGTTCCAAGCCTTAGTCTCCTCCCATCGGTTGGTAGCTCTTAACACATGGTCTAGTGGTGCAGGTCACACTTTCTTCCTGAATGGTCAGGGATCACAAATTGACTTCCTGCTCACTTCAGAAGCCTCGGCCAAGGGCCTGGCAAAGCAGTCTCGGCCGTGCAAGGATCTTCAGCTCGGCAAATGGAAGAGGGGCGGCCACCTTCCAGTCTTGGCTCAACTCAGACCCACCCAGCACTGGAATCTGCCAAAGCCTACTTGTCCTTCCACGACCTTTCATAAGGAAGCTCTAGAGACGGCTGTCCGTTCAGGTCTGCCAATAGCCGGTCGCATGCAAGACTGGGTGGGCCAGCGTCTGTCCTCTCGGACTCACACGCCTGATGAAGTTAATCAGGTACTGCTGGAGGCCTCTGCACTGTTTTTCCCCAAACCACGGCCTCAGCAAGCTCCTGAAACTGCTCAGCACCGTGCGACGCTGCGAATGTGGAGTCGAGTCGCTCATATTCGTTCTTTGCATGAGGACTCCATAACCACCTTATCCGACCTAGATCAGTCTTTGGAGGACCTGAATCGATGGCATAAGCAGGCTCTCTACTTAGCCAAGAAGGAACGACACCGAGCTTTCCAGGCTGAGGTCGATGAGGCGTGTGCCAGACACGATTCCTACATCGCACATAAGACCTTAAAGAAGCTCCGACCTTGGGAACCCCAAACTAAGGCACAGCTTCAGGGACCGGATGGTCTGCTGTTGGACTCTACCTCCGAGCTCCGCCTGCTTAGAGACCACGTGGAACAGGTCTTTGCCAGACATCCGCCACTCGCACACCAGGTGGACTCGCTGCCGGAAATCCCGGCTGGTCTGCTGGCCAAGCACATAGGCTCCATCAGACCGCACAAGGCGGTACCGCAAGGCTCTGCTCCGGCGGCTGCCTGGCGGCTCTGCTCGGCGGCTGCGGGAGAGGCGCTAGCAGCATCGCTGCAATCTCGGGGGCAACGCCCATTGCCGGCTGCTGAGGTACTTCAGCCGCCCTTAAAGGATGCTGACTTGTGTTTTATCCCAAAGCCTAACAAGCCGGCCACGAAGCCTGGCAATCTACGTCCCCTCGGCATCATTCGACCAGACGGCAAGGGCCTGGCGGGGGCTTGTAGAGATCAGCTGTCTCCCTACACGGCTGACTATCTTCGGGGTCTCCCACAATTTGCCTACCAGCCACATCGCGGTCTTTCAGATGCCTTGAGCAGGGTCGTTGGTCATGTCACTCAGGTACGCAATAACTGCCAGGAGGCCCGACGAACCAGGCATCAGCTTCACTCGGGACGAACTCGTCCCCAGCTAGTAGGTGGCATCTGCTTTGCACTAGACTTGTCACAAGCCTTTGACATGGTGAGCAGAACAGACTTGCTTAGCACACTGCAGGAAGCGGGAGTCCCGCAAGACCTCATTGACCTAGTTGCCTCATTGCATGCTGGCAGTGCTTACACGTTTCGCACCCAGGGTGAAGAGGACACGGTCCAGTCCACTGCGGGCATTAAACAGGGGTGTAAGCTTGCCCCCACACTTTTTTCCATGCTTACGGGCACCATCTTCCGGGAGCTCATAGCTCTTGTTGGGGTTCGAGCCGTGGTGGACTACCTCACGGGCTACGCAGATGACCTTACGGTTCACCGTGACATCCACTCAATGGAGGACCTGGATCGCGCTCATGCTCTGATTGAGCAATTGTTGCAGTTGGTCCGTCGCCATGGATTTGCTGTCAACGGTGCAAAATGCACTGTTATGGTCAAACTCGAGGGCCAACAGGCGCAACGCGCCATCTCCAAGCACACTTATTGGCGCACCGCGCCTGACGGAACCCGCCATAAGATGTGGAGACTGGGAGAGTCTAAGTCTCACGAGGGCTTTCCGCTGGTGACGTCCTTTAAGTATCTCGGCGTCATGCTCTCCTACTCCAACTTCGAGAAGGCTACTCTCAAGTTCCGGTTGCAGGAGGGCAATGTGAAATTGCAGCAGGTACGCCGCTTCGTTCACAACAGACGAACGGCGGGGCCTGCATCGCGGTTGCACATTTGGCATAGCACTGTCTGGGCCACAGTAGCCTCTGGATTGGTGGATGTGGGCTTGACCCTAGAGACAGCTAAACTGTTGCGGGCTTGGCACGCTCGCAAAATTCGAGCTGTCCTGAACAAGCCAGCGCACCTGACACACATATCCACGGCTGACCTCTATGCCTCCCATGAGATCATGGACCCTGTCCGTAAGCTGCAGGCGCGACAGGCCAATCGTGTCAAGCGCTTAGGTGCTCGACGGCGGAAAACTCCTGCGGGGGACATCTCTTTAACCCAGCGCGCGCTTCTCCAGGCGGAGGCACTCTCTACTAGTTATGCAGACGTTCTGCAGCAACTTTCTAAGGACACATCACAGCAGGAGGCCCCCCCGTCCTTCGTGTGCCCGACGTGTGCTCAGGCCTTCGACACTGAGGTACAGGCAATTCCCTCAGATGAAGGGCTTAAAGGACCACTTGTTATCAGGTGCCTGCTCGGAGCCAGCTAGGCTACAGGAGCTGGATGACGCGGCGCACCCTCCCTTGGATTCGCAGCATCAGCCCAGATTGCATCCCAGGCAGCAGCGCTTGCATGACACTCTGACAACACACACGGCTGTGGAGCTCGGACGATCTGATGAGTCTCAGGACCTTATGTCACATTGCTTGCTGTGTGGGTTCTGGACCCCGGACAATACCAAGCTCAAGTCTCACATCCGGCAGGCCCACAAACCTGAATGGGCGGCTCATGGCGCTACAGCTGCAACTCAGAGCAGCAAATCAGGCCTGACCCTTGTCAAGGGCATGCCTTGCCCGTGCTGCCGCAAGCCTGTTACGGATAAGAGGCAGCATCCGGCACAATGTCCGATCCTTTTTCAGATTCTGTTTTATGACTTGGTTCATGCACTTTCCCGCTGCCAGGGCGGACCGTTACGCAGGTACATGCCAGCGGTTGGCACGACACAAGGCAACGCACCCACACGGGACGATACCACCGCTGTTGGAGCAACGCCCCAGACTCGCCAGGCAACGCCTGCAGGCCCCCTGCCACCGAAGTCAGGAACAGTAGAATCAAAGGACGGCGCGCTCGCTGCTCCTCGCTCGCTGCGCAACATCTCCAACTACTGCTATGTTAACTCAACGCTTTCGGCCCTGGTGCCGACGTGCATCTTGCTGGAGCACGGAGGGGCAAGCACCTCCCTCCATCAGGAAGTGGCTGATTCTGTCTCTGGTTCTCCTTTCACCCTGACTGCCTCTTTCACGCTTCGCCATCTTACTCCCGCTTGGCGCTATGATGGCCAACAACAAGATGCTTCGGAGTTTCTAGTGGCCTTATTTGCAGGCATTACCGCCTTTCCGATTGCACGACCCTGGGAAGTCAGGGATGTAAACACTACTGAGGTCACCGATGCGGGAGGTCCGCTCGCTTTGCTGCCAGCTCCAACGACAGGTGGATCCCATGCACTTCAGGAGCTGCTCTCTCGGTGGTCTGGCCAGCCGGTGCACACCGCCTTTCGAGGGCAGCAACGACTGGTGGTTCTCACAGTGGCGCGATTTGTTGAAGGCCGCAAGCTCAGCTATGCTGTCACTGGTCTGCACCACCCCCTTCAGCTCTCGCAGTGGGCCCCGACGGGCTCCGTACAACTAGAGAAAGGATGGGTTCAGTCCTGTATCTTCCACATAGGTGACACCCCGCACAGTGGACATTATCGCTCCCTCTGGAGGAGCAACCCCGATCAACCTTGGCTCAGCACGGACGATGGTCGTCCGTCGGTTCAGGCCTCAGATTCAGATCTCAGGCAGGCACGCCACGGCTGCTATGTGCTGTTCGTGCGACTTGGTTCAATACCGCACACAGCGGAGGCTGGCCCTATGCCAGTCCAAGTTTCAGATGATTAAGCTGAGGGTTCCCCTGAGGCCAGGGGCCCCTACTTCCCCTTGCAGGAAGGGGGCGACCTACTGGCTCTGTGGGACCGACCTGCCTACACGGCAGGGAGCAGGAACGCTGTTGTTCAGTTTTGCTGCTCAAGTCGTACAGCTGACGTAGCTCCACTACTCAGCGTTTGTGTGCAATAGCGGCCTATACCTGTCATGCTAGTCGGGCAACGCTCGCTGCTTTCCCAGAAAGGCAACGCCTGTCAGCAACACAGCTGACCAATGGCTGAAATCGGCTTTACAAACCCCCATTCTCGGCTCGAGAAGGGGGGTTTGTCCGAGGCCTAAAAATCAAGGTTTTGCAACCCCCCATTCTCGGCTCGAGAATGGGGGGTTGTCCGAGGCCCCCAAGCCATTGCCGGCAAGCCTGGCCTCTGGAGGGGAGTACGCCTCTTACGAATAAGGTTAGCCTTATTAGGCACAGTGTGCTTACCGCCAGGGTGTGCCACATCGTTCACCGATGCAATCTGCTTGCCCACAAAAGCGGAGCTGCCTCAGATAACAGCACTAGCAGCCGTTCCACATGCTCATCACCTTTGCGACCTTACGGCCCATCGCCTTTGATTGAGAGTGACCATGAGTGGGACGCCACGCAACAGGCACTCTGAGTGACGGTCCCGAGGGGGTACGGCTCATCAATCATCGGTCCGTGGACATGGGACGCCATAGTCCACACTGAGGGTGACGGAGGGTTTCTCACCCACGCCTGAGACGCATGAACCGGCTTTTGAGGTAGCTTGTAGGGTAGCTCTCTTCACGGTAGCCTGTTTCAGCGCTTTCAGGCCCAGGCCCTTAGCATTTCTGCTCTCAGACCTTTGTTCAGGTGCAAAGGCAGTCTCACACGCCCGCAATGAGCAGAGCCCGCTCGCTCAGCGTCCAATAAATAATTGTTGTTGTTGTTGTTGTTGCTGATGTTGTCGTTGTTATAGCTATCTATTTGTTTCTGGTTCTGCTGGTGGCGGTGGTGGTGGTGGTGTTGCTGTTGGTGTTGTTGGTTTTCTTGTTGATGCTGGGGCTACGCTTGCGGTTGCGGTTGCTACTGCTGGTGTTGCTGTTGTTGGTTTGTGTTTGTGGTTAGCAGTTTGTTGTTGTCTGTTGTTGTTGGTCGTTGTTTGTTGTTGTTGCTCCTGCTGGTGGTGTTGTTGCCGTTGTCGTCGTGTGCTTTTTGGTGTTAGTTGTTGTTTGCTCTGTTTGTTTCTTTGTTCGTTTGTTTGTTTGTTTAAGCGTCAAAGTCAAAATGTTTGTTTGTTTGTGTGTCGTATCTGTTGTGTGTGTGTGTGTGTTGTGGGTCTGTGGGTATGGGTGTGTGTGTGTGTGTGTGTGTTGTTTGGTTGTTTGTTTGCGTGTTTGTTTGTTTCTTGCGTGGTTGTTTGTTGTTGGACATTGCTGGTTGTCGTTGGTTGTGGTTATTGTTCTTAGTTTTGGTATTGTTGTCGTTGTTTGTTGTTACGTGTTGGTGCTTGTTGTTTGCTGCTGGTTGTTGTTGTTTGTTGTTTTGTATGTGTGGCTCTGCATTTGCGTGTTGTTTGTTCGTTTGGTTCGTGTTTGCTTGGTGTTTGTTGTTTGGTTTTGGTTGTTGCTGTTGTTGTTGGTTTTTGTTGCCGGTTGTTCTTGTGTGTGTGGGGGGGGGGTTGTTTGGTGTTTTGCTGGTTATCATAGTTAATTGTTGGCAGTGGTTCTTGTTGGTGCGTCAGGTGCTATGTCTATGTTTTTGTTGTTTGTTGTGTGTTGTTGTTTGCTGTTGTTTGTCTTTTGTTGTTTGTTTGTTCGTTTCGTCGTTGTTGTTGTGATTGTTGATGATCCTGGTGCTGGTGCTGGTGCTGGTGCTGGTGCTGGTGCTGGTGCTGGTGCTGGTGGTAGCTGCCGCTGCTGCTTCTGCTGCTGTGGTTGGCGTTGGTGTGATGACTTGATGCATGTTTGTCGTTATTGAAGTTCTTGTTTGTGGTGCTTCGAGTCTTGTTGTTTGGTGTTTCTTGAATTGCTTGTTGATGTTCGCTGCTGGATAATATTGGCTCGTCGGTTGTGGTTTCGGTGCTTGTTGTTGTTGTTGGTGGTGGTGGTTGTCGTTCCCAGTGTCGATGTCAGTTTCAGACCACACATGCGAGCCTAGAACTTTCCCAGCCCGCGTCAGTCGGTCATGGATTGATTGGTGCTAGTTCCAGATATACTTGCTATGTTCTGCTGCTTCAGTCATTTTTACCCGGCTAGATTCCTGGATCCAGTCGCATGCACACATGGCTGTGACAGGACATTGTCGGGGCGGCTCTGCAAGCCACAGAGAAGTGTATCAAGCAGTTCGGACCTCGGGATTGGAAAGATGCTTCAGCGGTCTTCAGCGCATGTAACTGTAGGGTTGGGACTGGGACCACTTGCCAAGGTGGCAGCAGCGCTGCCGTGCTTTGGCAGCGAAGTGCCAGGCGAGAGGGCTTTGTCTCAGATGGTTTGCAGCATCGCTTTGTTTTAGGATGCTGTCGCGTCGACCGTGGCTCTTGACATCCGTGACTGCACTACCGGTACTCGACACTGGGATGCCATGAGAGGAGCTCCTGGCTCTCATCGAGGAGAGGCTGGCCACCCTTCCCAAAGGAAGCTATGCGGAGGAGAGGTCCGAACTCGGGGCACTGTGGGGATCCGCAGGCTGCGTCCCTCGTTTTGCTGCCGCGCCCGTCAGATGCTTGAGCTGAGCACAAATGCTGAGATCGCTGCAGGAGCTTGCTGCTGCGCTGACAAAGCCCTGGCAGCCACGAGTTGCTGCCCTTCGCAGGCGACCCGCCACTTTTGTGCAGTAAGGCCCGCGTTTTGATGACAGGCACTTTGCAGTGCAGCAGTCGTAACTGATTCAAATTCCGCATCCACGATGCCACGCTCGGTGGCATGGCTCGTCGTAGTATCACAGGTTGCTGGACACAGTCGATGGAGCTGTGGAGGAGCGGCCGCTTTTAACACTCAAGTGACGGAGCGCAGCAACCCCTCCTAAAGTGCGGTCTCGGGTTTGATGACGGGCTGTTGGAAAAGAGGTACCTCGCTCTGCTGTTTTCTGATCAGTTCTCGGATTCAGCTGCTGGTGCTGCCCAGGAGCAGGATCGCTTGCGCGCTGGCCTCGCCGAAGCCTGCGCAGCCCTAGGCCAGGCGGGCTTCTTGGCATCTCGCCGAGAAGGGCCGCGGGGGATTGCATGGCATAATCCGGAGAATGCCCCGTCCGCGCACTGCACGAGCTGAGCTCACAATTAAGCCAATTTAGATGGCCATAGGCGCGACAAACGCCGAAGCCCTTGCGAGGCCTGGACCCCTCGGACGTCGCAGGCATGAGCCCCGAGGAGCTCAAGGCTGAGGCCTCGCTCTATCGATCTGTAAGCATTCGCCCCGTCTCAAAGGCGGATGTAGATGGTTTGAGTGCTTTTCGCTTCTGCATTTGAGAAGCTCGTAGCTCTAAACGTAAACGAACGCCTGCAGGGACCGGCTTGCACCATCGATTTACACCTCCGCGAGGCCGCACGGCGGGAGCTTGAGCTCAAGCACCGGTACGAGGAGACGCTCCGGGCCATGGGCCGCTTGGACGTTCATCAAGCAAATCAGTAGCAAAGTGGGCCCATGTTAAGAAAGCCGCTGCTTGTTTCCTGATTTTATTGGAGCATATTCGTATCCGAAATGTGGGTCGCGAAAGGCGTGCCAAACATTGTCTACATTCTACATGTTAATCGGCATGACTACAAGACACACATGTTACAGTGTTCACCCGTGTTGCACCCCCGTGAAACACATGTCTGGCTAGATGAATTTGCACAGCTTCCCAAACAGGTTGTTGCCCACAGTTTTAGAGCAACAAACGGGGCAGACAGGTGCGGTAAGCTCAGTTTGAAGCTACATGAGCCTGCATGTGCCAAATCTCAATGCCATCTGCATTGAAACCAAAGTGAGGTGTTTTCAAGAGTTGCGAAGTCTAGTCGCTAGTGGAGCCTTCCTAACGATTGATGCATGCCATCACAGTTTTCGCACCTTGGTGTTCTTTTTGCTTAGCGCGTCCTCATGATGAATATGATGCCGGAGCTGCGGTATATAAGTGGTGCAACGCTTAAGCTTGTTTGCATACAACTTAAGTTTTCCTTCGGTCTATCATTTAATTCGCAGCTTTCCCATTGCATGCTCTCCTCTTGATGCGTCGTGTGCCCGTACATTCACTTCAGTTTTATGCTTTCCTTGCCACTTTGGCCGATCTGCCAAGGCTCCGGTGTTCCTCGACTTGTCAAGTCGTCATTTCAGCGAGAATGTTGCCTTGCTCTCGCTCGACTTCTCGTGTCCCTGTGGCTCTTTCTCGAATCGATTCGCGTCCCTTTGGGAGAGACTGTTTGCGCACACTCACTGCCAATGCCAAGTCTGCGCTGAGGTCTCGACCCCGAAGATTTTCCGATGGATGGGATGGACCTGGCCTCGATGGCCGCCAAGCTCAAGGCCCGTTGTAAGCCTAGTGCACAGCGGCTCTGAGAGCGAATGCGACAGGACATGGAGGCGAAGCTCGCAACACTTAGAGCTGCTCGTCTACGCCTTACGGCAGACAGTATCGCCGTTTTGGCATGCTGAGACTCAGGACTCCACTTTCGCGAATGCGCAGCGCGCCAAAGAGATTTGGGAGGCAAAGAATCGCAAGTCCCAGACTCTGGTTGCGTCGGGCTTGGTCGATTTTTTTGTGAATCTTTTGTAAACTTATTTAGTGGCTTCAGTCTCTTCGCAGACTTTCACGATCTTTCACGTCTAGGTCTCCTTTTCGGAGGCAGCTACATATCATAGGCGGTGTCATCCCAACAAAATCCTAACATGCTCGCTGTCCCATCAAGCTTTGTTTCCGTTGATCTGCCCCAGCACTTTTCCTGACTGACGGGACAAGACATGAATGGCATGGCGTGTACACCACGGTTTTGTCTTCGCAGTGTTCTCGCGCGAAGCGCCTTTGCAGCATTTGACATGGATTTGAGCATTGAGATCCCCACGTCTGATAGGTAGTTGTGTCCTACTCAGTCAAGCATGCGACTTCCTGAAGCAGGTCGATGCTACAACAAGAAATCACAGGGTAAACCTGTTCCGGCAGTGAACGGTGCGGAAGGAGCTCCGCGAATCACCGGAGATGCCTCGAGATGGCCAGGCGTGAACGACGGGTCAAAGCATCAGAAGCTGATTCCTTTGACGTGTGCACAAATTTTCTGCCGTGGGGTAGGCCGTGGCGGTGGCTGCCAACCCGCAGCAAAGCGTCACTGCGGCAATCGCATGTGCGGTGGAAGCCAGTCTCCGGGCATGGGAGGTCCAACCTGCATGTGTTGCTTTCCCTGGACTCCCATTGAAGGATGCAGTATGGAACGCTAGTCAAGCTCCATATGAAACCACAACCGGGCCGACAAAGTCAGATGCCAAGATGTTTGCTTTGCATTTAATTTCGTCAGCCTGCTACTGCATGGAAGATGTCGTCTCATGCTGTTGTCTTCCATCCAAACACCTCTGCAAGAACTCAGACATGTTCAATTTAATTCGCTTGCAGACCCCGCCTGCGTTCTTGCGCGACACTTGCAGAATTTCTCAAGACAAGACCGGGAGATTCGTCGTCGCACAGGGCGAGTTTTAATTGAAAGTTCTGCACACGACACGTTTCTTTTGGCGAAAACGGTCCGGATCTAATCGAATAAAGCAGGTCACCCGCACCATGACGTGTCCCAGACGTCTATGCAGGGCCGAAGAGCCTGTCCTAGCCTCCGGTGGAATACTTCAGAAAAAACTGTGCCAGGCTCGGCATGCAGAGCGCAGGAAGGACGCGGCAACTTGGACGGCGTTCTGAAAGCCTTGCCACTGACCTTCGATGCATGGTCACTGCCACGGCTCTTGCCGGTTGGCATTCTCCAAGGAAGCCCTCCATGCAGCCATCCGTGGCCACAGCTCAGCCAAGGTCGCCGAGGTAGGCCAGCTTGTTCCTGACGAGGGTTGACCACTTCTTCTTGTTTTTGTCGGAGACACTGTGCTCGGCCACATTGTGAAGCGCCCTCAAGAGGACCCTCGCCGAAGGGAACCCGGAAAAGGAGGTTCCTGTCTTGGCATACACTGCAGCACTAGGAGGCGGCCTAGCGCAAGCACATGCATACATTACCCCGCTAGATTATCCCCTGGATGAACAGGGTGCGGCAGCTGCCCAAGATTTGTATCAGCGACGGTTGACATATCAATACGTTCTCCATTACACAGAATCTGCAGAATAATGAATGCCGTTGGAAAATGCATGAAGCAGTACTCCAACGTGGTTCACACTGCCGAGGTTTCAGCAGCAAACACTCATCTGCCAGCAAGTCCCACAAAGGCCCGTGGAAACCCAAAAGAAATCATGAATGAACATCTGCAGCAAGCGACCAGTCAAGGGTGCACCGTGGTGCACCACAGAGGGTGTGCTACGTGTATCTACGTGTGACACTGGCTGACGCTTGTTCAGGACTTTCTGTCTTCCCATGCGGGTCTGCATGCAGCGGACCTCGAGGCTCTGACCTGCTGCAAGTTTTGAGAGTCGACATCTACAAGCTGCAGTTACATGCGGTCACGGCATGTGATGAGAGTAAGGACCACCAAGGCCCCGAATGCAAGCGTTTGAACCCGAGGTTTTATTGAAGTGTGCGTGATGACTGTTTTTGGCTCAACATCAGCACGCCCTCCAGACACCATGACCAGAAGCTGAGCGATGCGCACGCTGGCGCTATGGTGTCTCGTCGTCTGGCATTTGCCAAAGGCTATTGCAAATGCCAGTGGCGCAATGTCGCAGCAGCAGTGGCAAGAGTACCAGGATTGTCACAACAGAAGAAGGTCAAGAAGCATGTTAGTTGCACTTCATTGCTTTCCTGCAAGCCGGGAGGAGCATGCTTATGCCCTCATGGCGAGCATCGAGGCTCCTTCACGGCTCTCCTGATCAAAGCATTCGGACAACAACTCACTCGCTCAGCCCAGGGCGACAGCCCGGCCATCGAAACCTTACGCCGACGCTTGCAAGCCCTCGCGCAGGCAGAGTGCGCACAATCGTGTGGACCCTTAGAAATGCCCATTTTCAGTAGGAAGGGCAAGTGCTGCCGGATGCGCTTGCATGTTGGGATGCGAACCTCTCCTGATGTCTTGTCGATGGCAATCTCACCTACAGTATACCACAGACCGCAAGTTGACCTAAGCTACACCTATTCTGCTACTTCTCCTGTTCCTGTTCCTGCTGCCACCTACTACTTACTACCCATTTCCTGTGACCCACTACGCGTCACCAACTACCTATTATCTGTACCATGTCGTGCTATCTGCCAACGACTGTCCACTATCGTCTGTCTACTATCTACTGCCTACTTATGTACTGTTGCCTACTGTCTACTGTCTGGAATCTACTATCTACGGTCCACTACTACTACTACTACTACTACTGCTACTACTACTACTACCACCACCACTACCATTACCACCACCACCACCACTACTACTACTGCTGCTACGACGACGACTACTACAACTACTGCTGCTACCACGACTCCTCCTACTGCGACTGCAGCCCTGCGACTACTACTGCTAGCACTACTGCTGCTACTGCTCCTCCTGCTACTGCTACTGCTACTGGTTGTGCTACTGATGGTACTACTCCTCCTACAGCGACTGCGACTGCAGCCCTGCGACTGTACTACTACTCCTACTGCTACTGCTATTGGTTTTGCTACTGCGGCTGCTACTATCACCACTACTACTCCTCCTCCTGCTGCTGTTAGGCGTGCCAGGTGGGTGACAAAACTACCGTTAGCAGTAGTAGTAGTAGTAGTAGTAGTACTACTACTACTACTACTACTACTACTACTACTACTCCTACTACGACGACAATGAGGATAGTATAGTATGTCCACCAGTGCCACCACCACCACCACCGCCACCACCACCACCACCACGACTTCTTCTTCTGCTACTACTACTACTGCTACTACTGCTATTACTGCTACTGCTGCTCCTTCCTGCAACTGCTACTGCTACTGCTGCCATAGCTGCTACAACAATTGACCGTCAAGAAGAAACAGCTGGAGGAGGCTGAGACTACCAGCACAGCTCCCGGAGCCGCGGAACTCAACGAGGTGGAGGCACCGTCCGTGAATGTCTTCTGCAGGTAATTAAACAAGATCGAAGATGGAATATCGGTAATACTTGTCATCACTTTAATCCCCATCGTTTCAGGATCCAATCTCTGGTTCTCAATTGCAAGTGTCTTGGAGTGTCATTTACGCGCTGAGGCAGAGATGGGCGAAGAAGAAGAGGAGTTCACAGAGGCTCCCTTAGCACCAGCGCGCTTTCCACGAAGTCCGCTTCAAGTCCTGTCGAGGTTGACATTGGCTGCAGCTGGACTTTGACAGGTGGCGGGCTGGTTTTGCAGCTGCTG